CCATTGGGGTGCTAAATGGATAAGCCTTGTCCATCGCTTTAGTATCTTTTCAATGTAAGCTGATTGATGGACCAAAATTCCATTAGCACAATGCTCGATTTGCAGGCCGAGATAATATTTTGTTTTCCCAAGGTCTTTCATTTCAAATTCGTTTTCAAATATTCAGCAGTCTTATTGAGCTCTTCAGGGGTTCCAACTAGGTTCATATCATCGACGTATACTGCCACTATAGCAAATCCAGTATTTGATTTCTTAATGAACATACAAGGGCATATGACATTGTTGGCATATCCTTCTTTAATCAAATACTCACTGAGACGATTATACCACATTCGCCCAGATTGTTTCAACCCATATAGTGATCGCCTTAATTTGATTGAGAACATACCTCGTGGTTCGTTAGTTGCTTCAGGCAACTTAAGTCCTTCTGGAACTTTCATATATATGTCAGTATCTAATTCTCCATATAGATACGCGGTAATGACATCCATAAGTCGCATGTCAAGTTTTTCTGAAATCACCAAACTTATTAAGTAACGGAACGTAATTGCGTCCATTACAGGAGAGTATGTATTTTCATAATCAATTCCAGGTTTTTGTGAAAAACCTTGTGCAACGAGTCGTGCTTTATATCTTGCAATCTCATTTTTCTCGTTATGTTTCCTTGTGAATACACATTTGTAACCTACGGGGTTCACACCAGGCGGGGTTTGAACTATTGGTCCAAAAACACTTCATCTTTCCAAGGAATTTCATTCTGCCTGGATTGCATCTTTCCACTTAGGCCAATCTTGTCTATGTCTGCATTCATCAACAGAGCGAGGCTCAATATCATCACTTAAGATAATTTCAGTGGCTATTGCAAATGCAAACATGTCGTCGATGATTATTTCATTTCGATCCTACAATTCATTAGTACATGCATAATTTATGGATATTTCTTTGCTTTCATGTACTTCTGTCTCTTCAAGGACAGATGTCTACATTTTCTTTTTCTAGAAGTATAGAATCATGAATTATGGATTTATTATTCAATTTCATTTCTTGAATGATATCATTTGGGTTCAACTGTGCTCTCATCTTTCTCTTTCGAGGGGCTGAATCTTTTGAACCTGGGGGTCTACCATGCTTCAGGCGTGCACTGGATGAATCATTCGCTGCCACTTTATTTTGTACAACAGGGACATCAATTTTTGCAGGTGCGTTTGCAGTTGGTATATGTGACTTTGTCACTTTCGAAAATCATTAAATGCATCTGGCATTTGATTAACGATACCTTGAAGATGAACGATCCTTTTCACTTCATTTTCACATTGAGTGCTTCATGGATCAAAATGAGATAAGGTGAGAACAACCCATGTCAGTTCTTGCCGTTCTTCTGGAACGGTCTTTTCTCCCCCTTACGACGGGAAAACTATCTCATCAAAATGACAATCAGTAAAACGAGTTGTAAACATATCACCAGTCAAAGGTTCCAGATATCTAATGATAGATGGTGTATCAAAACCCACATAAATTCCCAGTCTGCGTTGAGGTCCCATTTTAGTTCGTTGTGGCGATGCAATAGGCACATAAACAACACAACTAAAAACTCGTAAATGGGAAATGTTTGGCTGTTGTCCAAACACGAGTTGTATGGATGAATATTGGTGGTTGGCTATGGGTCTTAATCTAACCAATGATGCAGCATGTAATATGGCATGTCTCAATGCAGAGACTTGCAATTTTGTTTTCATGAGCAGAGTGCGGGTTATTAATTGAAGCCGCTTGATAAATGCCTCTGCTAAACCATTTTGAGTATGGACATAAGGAACAGGGTGTTCAACATCAATGCCCAGTGCCATACAGTAATCATCAAAGGTTTGAGACGTAAATTCACCAGCGTTATTAAGTCGAATGGACTTAATGGGATGATCTGGGAACTGTGCTTGCAACTTAATTATCTGAGCAAGAAGTCTCGCAAAAGCTACATTTCGAGTAGATAATAGGCAAACATGTGACCATCGGGTAGATGCATCAACCAAAACCATAAAATATCGAAATGGTCCACAAGGTGGTTGAATAGGTCCACAAATATCCCCTTGAATTCTTTGCAAAAATGATGGGGATTCATCATCAACCTTTAGTTGTGATGGTCTAATTACCAACTTCCCTTGGAAACAAGCTTTACAATGGTTATCATTTGAAACATCAATGTGTCTGCTCAATAATGGATGTCCATTAGAATTGGTAATGATTCTACGTATCATGGTAGATCCTGGATGACCTAGACGGTCATGCCAAAACATGTAAACCTTTGAATAAATGAACTTCTGGTTCATGACAGTATATGCCTTAACTGTCTTTATGTATGTATAATACAATCCACTCGATAAACCATGCAACTTCTCCAATATACGCTTCTCGGTATCATCGGAGGTAATGCATAAATATTCCACATTTTCTACACTTTTCGTTTCAATGTGGTATCCATTTAGACGTATGTCTTTAAAACTCAACAAATTTCGAATGGATCGAGTAGCATATAATGCATTCTTTATGGATAATATTGTTCCATTTGGTAACATAATCTGAGCTTTTCCTGAGCCTTCAATTACATCTGATTGCCCTGATATTGTTGTTACCTTTACTTTTGCAAGTACCAAATTCGAGAAATACTTTCGATCTCGAAGTATTAAATGCGTGGTTTCACTGTCTGAAAGACAAAATTCTCCGCCATTGCTCTTGTTTTGAGAATAACCATAATTTTTATCCATGTTCTCTGAGTAAAGAAAAAGCAGTTTATTCATACTGGAATACTACTTTTATTGAATTGAAAATACGAGCATTAAACCACAAGTACAAATAACAGGAGTACATTAAATATAAATAATTCAATCGGACCCATAAACTTCATTCCCTCTTTCATTAATAAAGTCTGTAGAATCTAGGTGGGTTGTGTTTAACTGTCCTGATAAATTGGTCGATGGATCAGGGGTTTCCATTGGTTGAGCCTGGTCGAAGAAATTGATCTCGACAACCTTCTCCTTGAAGGATGATTGATACAGCTCCACCAGATGCTTTGGGGTGCGACAAGTACGCGCCCAATGTCCGTTGCCACCACACCTATGGCAACCTTCTTCAGGATTTCTAGGAATAATCACATGAGCTTTTCTTTTCTGGCGATTTGCATTTGTAAAGCTCGGGTCTGGATTATGCCTTAGAACCTGGTTATAAAACTGGTTGTGAAACTGGACACCATGGTTCTTGCCTTTCCCTTTCCACCAGCCTTACTTGTGGCCACGTCCTCGTTTGTAATTATTGCCACGGGAAGATATGGTATTCCGTTCAAGGGAAGCAACATTCACTTCTGGGAACGGTGTTGATCCAGTAGGTCGGGAATTATGGTTTTTCATCAGGAGCTCATTGTTCTGTTTAGCTACCAGGAGCACAGATATCAGCTGGTTGTATTCAGTGAAGCCTTGCGCTCTATACTGCTGTTACAAGACCATGTTAGAGGCGTGGAATGTGCTGAAAGTCTTTTCTAATAACATCTCCTCAGTAATAGTATTCCCACAGAACTTCATCTTAGAGGTAATTCTGAACAACGCCGAATTATACTCAGCCACTGACTTGAAATCCTGGACCCTTAAGTGAGTCTAATCATAGCGAGCTCTTGGATGAATCACCGTTGTCTGGTGATTGTATCTGCTTCTCAAGGCATTCCAGAGGGCTAACAGATCTTCAACCGTTAAGTACTCGCTCTTTAGTGCCTTATCAAGATGGCGACAAATAAAAATTATGGCCTTTGCCCGATCTTGAGAAGATGAACTGCTCTCTTCCTTGATGGTATCTCCAAGATTCGTTGCTTTCAGATGGATCTCGGTATTCAGTACCCAGGTAAGGTAATTCTTTCCAGTAATGTCCAGGGCAGCGAAATCAAGCTTTGCCAAGTTTGCCATTTTCTTTTCTGAAAGAAAAATGAGGTGTGTAAGAACTTGCAATAATATGTGTTCTGGAGGAATATATTGTTAGAATTTCTGGTTCTTACAAATTTTTTATCTTCATGCCAAAATGTTAAGTACTCGAAACTTAAGGCTCGAGATTTACATAATTAATGAGAAGGGCAATTGTACCGCACCATTCTCATCGAAACAAGTACAGGATGAGCGATTATTCCGCACTACTTTAAACAGTTGGAAAATTAAAAATGTAGAGCAAGGTGGACGATTATACCGCACCACCTAAAATTGTGATAAAATTTAAATTGCGATAAAATTTAAATATGTAAAGTAGGGTGGGTGATTATTTCACACCACCTAAAATTGCGATAAAAATTAAATACGCAGGGTGGGTGATTATTTTCACACCACCTAAAATTGAGATAAAATTAAATATGTAAATTTAAATATGCAGGATAATTAGATCTACAGTCCAAGATAGGCGATAGAACCACACAATATTGGATTGCATAAATAATGAGTGGGTTAGTAGTCAATATCTACACCAAACAAGAAATCAAAGATATAAGTAACTGTTAGTTGGAGAACTAGAAGTAAACATGGTGCAAAAAGTTCTTCGCAAGGGTATATCTAGTAATTGAGGCAGAGGAGGAAGAAGAACAGTAAAAACCTTAGAGGAAACTTTTTTTTTTCTTTCGGTGAAGGGAAAAGAGAAAATGATTAGAGAGTTGTGCTGATAACGTGTTATAAATAGGCAAAATTTAGAGAGATAACATTTACTCAGGACAGGAACGAAGCAGTTGCAGAGGATTATACCAACACAAACTGTTGCAGAGAAAGTAAGGTATATTATTGCTATTAGATGTTTTTCTCTTCCTTTTCTCTTCTTGATGTTCTCTTTTATTTGAACAATCTAAGTGCTCTATTTATAGAGCCACTTCAATAAAAAATTACAAAAGAATTACTATTTAGCTTGTGAGTTTATGCTATACATATGTGATACTTTACTATACATATGACCCACTATTTACAACATTTTGAATGATGTGTGGTTGTGTGTAGACGGAATGTAAGGAAAAGAACCTTGATTGGTATAAAAATCTCTCATTCTCTCCGGTTACCTTTCCCCTTCCCTCTTCCCCGCTGTACTCGCCTAGTCCTTCCAGAATCCAGAGTTCACACACTTCTTTTGACAAAGGGAGTGATTCAAATATGGCAAACTCCTGCAGGCGGCGGAGGTCTCCCATCGCCCTCTAGGGTTTCTCTCTAATTTCTGTAAGTACTCTCTCTCTAATCTTCAATTCCTTATTTAGGGTTTCCTAATTATTCATTTTTAACGTTTCCTTCTCTCTATTTCTGTATGTTTGTTTCTTCAATTCAGTGAACAGGGCTTAGGGTTACATTTTTATTCAGCTATGTGTTTGTTCTTTCAATTGGTGTTCGAAGTCAATTGGTGTCCTGACTTCGAACAAGTTAAGCCTAGTCACTTTTTATTTTCGTTTAAATTGTATTGCAGCTCTCACTTCACACAACAAATGCTCCTATCAGATTTATGTAGACAACAAGCCCTACTCGGAAGCCATCGTCCCGTCTTTTGACAAATCACTGTACACATTCAAACTTATTGACAAACTACAATTTTTCATCAATAAGTAAATTAATATTTCTTATGGTAAGGGTCTACATGTTGTTTATTGAGTTACTAAGGGGTGGTGGCATTCCTTTCGCCACTTGTGATTAAATTTGAGAACAATTAGTAACAAATTGGCGGTTTTAGAAGATACAAAGGTTAATTTCTTGATTCGTCAAATGTATCACATCATTTGTTTCCAACCACATAGAGCGGCGGTTGGTTTTTTTATTTTTTTTCTAATGACTAGTTGAGGTTTTTTTTATTTTTTTTCTAATGACTAGTTGATCTTAAATTAATTCAGTTAGTCTCAGAATGAGATACCTTAAATTGTGGCATACCTTCAACTTCAAGGCAAGAAGAAGAGAAGAAGGGAAATGAGAAAATAGAAAATAAAAAAGTTAAGAGGAATAGCATTAACATAGATAGAATAGAAAATTCTCTAAGCCGCATGGACTATTCTTCGTAAGTCAGGAGGAGTTGTCAATGTCAAAGTTGTTGACTGACGAATGGTATATATTCTCATTTCGCACCATCCCTAACCTTTGCCCCACTGACACGCAAACTTGCTTCACACGGTCCTCATCTTCCGCCTTCTAACTACAGTGCCAAGCCTCTCGCAAAATCTTCAATGGCCCTTTTTTGTCTTTCAAAAGAGCCGACTATAGGCCTTCCTCCTCCTCTGTTGCAAAACCCTCAAGTGCGTTCACTGCCGTCTGATCTAGGGTTACCAACTTTCAATAATCCATATTCAGATGCAAAATCAATTGCATTGACATACTCCAACTACTCCCTTTCCCTCCTGTTTGTTTCCACGGAAAATTTACTATACTGGCGTATTAATGTGTTATATATGTGTGTGTGTGTATTGAAGGATAAGGTACTTACTCGAACATGTTTTTGTTTCTCTTATTGTTGAGATAGAAATTTGATTGGAAACAATAAGGGAGAGATAATAGGAGTGTTGTGGAAGTAGAAGAAGGGGAGAGTAGGAAGAGCAATGCTGATGGGGTTGGGATGGGTGGGCGCCATTTTGGTAGGAGCTGGTTGGCTTGCTTTGGGGTATTGCTTTGGCGTGCGTTACCCTCCTGCTCGCATTATTTTCTCAGCCAGACTCGCTAAGCAAGCTGCACTTGCCAATGATTATAATAATGGCAAGAATAAGACGAAGAAGAATAAGCAGAACAAGGACAAGCCCAAAGACCCTCTAGAGATTGAAAACCTCGCCGACATTCTTGAAGATTTCAAAATGGTATCGCTTTAAGTTTCATCTCTGTCTCTTTTCCTCTAATACTTGATGATTTCAAAACACTGATTCGCGGCATTATATTTGACAATATTGGATTGCTCCACCTATGTTTTTAGTTGTTTGTTTCCATATTCCTTTAGTTTGTGGCAGGATGTGCCTGTGCGACCTATTCACTTTCTTGATTGTTTTCTTCAGGTTTTGGTGGTCAGGAATGATCTAAAGATGGGTAAAGGGAAAATTGCCGCTCAATGCAGGTAGCTATAGATACTTTTTGCTTTCCTTTTGTGTTTGGTGCACTAAAATTCAAACTCATTATCTGAATGTTTGTGTTCATCATTTAGCCATGCAACTTTAGGCCTCTATAAAAAGGTCCTCCATCGAGCACCAAAAGCTTTAAACAGGTAAACCAACACACTACTCTGTGATTTTTTCTGTCGAACAATGTGGGATTTTACATACCTTTCTTTGTTTCGTGTAATGGTGTTGTTTCAATCCGCAGGTGGGAGATGTGTGCCCAGCCTAAAGTTGTAGTGAAAATAGAAAGTGAAAAAGATATGCTAGTTTTGCAAGTCAGTATTATATACAAATCTCTCTATATTTTCGGTGAGTGCAACTTTATGGTTGATGTAAAAATCGTTGTGGGTTTTGACAGGAAAGGGCTAAATCGCTAAATTTACCGACACACATTACAATTGATGCTGGCAGGACTCAGATTGCACCAAGTGAGTTGCTTACATTTCTATAGCTGAGGTTAATCTGGATTTTAATATTTTAAGCTTTTGGTGATGTCTACGTCAGTATTGCCAATCAAATAAAACACTATGTTCACTCACAAAAATTTCAATATATTACTAAGAAGTGGAGGCTTTCATCATCACAACTTGAGAAAGATCGAATTAAGTGGATCAGCATAATGCTCTCAAACAGTGGGAGTTTCCAAGTTTTGTGTACCCCCATTCTCTTTGAAGTTTTTTAACTGTATAATCATGTTGTTTTCTGATTACTGCTGCAAACAGATATGCTGTAACTTGTTTTATTTGTTCCCCATATGCGCCATGAAATTTATATTCTTCACTAGTTCTTATTCAGTTGACCATCCAACGTTACTTATTTGGTCCAATGTTTCCTTCCAGATTCAAGGACAGTGATGGCTATTCTTGGTATGTTTGTCTTCTCCATTATCTTGTCTTTTGATGAGCCTTTTTAATTTGTACCCAGAGGTCACTTACGTATAAAAGGAATTTTGTAAGTCTTTAAGTATAGTCCCCATGCGCGTGGGGTTGTCGACTTAGATTGGGAGTTTGGGAGGCCAAGCCCCTCTATATTATGTTGGTAGGATATTGTGTAGGAGAGGTTTTGAGCTTGTGAATGTAGCATACCAAAGTCTTATGTCTGACAAAATCTTCAAAAAATATCGAAATGGAACTTTGATTTTCCCTCATTGCTTTACCGCGACTTGACTGATTCCAAATTTCCAACATACTCGTGTGCAGGACCTGTTGAAGTAGTTGATGATGTAACAGGTGGACTGAAGCTCTTGTAGATTGCTTGATTTCAATGGTGTTTATCTTATTGCAATGTGAGTTTCAAGGATATGAGTCAAGTGCCATGGGCAGCAACATCAACCATACCGGAAGAGACTCATTCCAAGTTCATATTCGAATATCCATTATCTGAAGGACCCCGACTTAGAAATACAAGTACTTGTGTCCTTCTATCCCAAGGATTGCTTATGATGACGAAAAATCGCAGAAATTGCATTATTTATTATCATTATGAAGCTTGTACTGTACTACTGTAAGGATACTCTTTTTTCGAGTTTTTCCATTACTTGGCATTGAAATTGAATTCAAAACATAAGCGATGTTCCTGGTTTTCGGTTTGGTAGCATTGTCTCATCTTCTTATCGATGTTTGGTTCTCTTAACTCTATTTTCTTGTTAAGTTTTTGGTCAATGATAAAAAAGGCTTTGTAAGATGACGTTGCGAACGTAACTTATACTCTCTACAGATATTGGCTGTTTTAATTTACATGATCTTGATAGAGCACAAGAAGCATGGAACGGGAAGCGATTCCTCCAGCCATCACCGTCTCCATATTTGCTGTCTCTGTTTTTAATAATTTTTAGGAAGAAAGCCGTATTTATCGAAAGAAAATTAAACAAAATAAAAAACAATAATAATAATCGTCGCCTTCACAACTAATACTCCCTATAGATATTGGCCGTTCCAATTTACATGATCTTGATAGAGCACAAGAAGCATGAAACGGTAAGCGATTCACAAATTACAACTGGAACTGATCCTTCGGCCATCACTGTCTCCGTATTTGTTGCTTGTCGCCTGAGAGGTTCGAACTCTCACGGAAGATTCCCATGCACCTAGGAAGCACACGCCTTAACCACTCGGGCAAAGCGACTGTTGATGACGTTATATTATTCTTTATTCCAACAAGTAAACCAATATCCGAGGTTGAATGAGCTAGAAGTGGAAAATAAGAAATTCTTGTGATGATCATTACGTATCAAAACACAAACACAAAAATGAGAATCTCATCATTCTTTCAACTTCCAGTCAAATAAATAGAAAAATCACTCAAAAACGTTGTTGTGTTATAAATAGGCAAAAGTGAGAGGGTGAACATTTGTTAGAGGTCGAAGTAGAACGAGAGTAATGAATCGCATTGTTTATTTTTGTAACTATACCAGACAATGAATGCAGGTAAAGTAAAAAAAGAAGAGGAGGGAGATTGGTATTATTACTTTCTACTTTTGATCCTTGTGTAAGGGAAAGAGTTGGCACAAATTGTTTACTGATATATGTAGATAGAAAGGTGGGAGGTAATCTTTATATTACAAAGGTCCATTTATATAGGAAAGCCTTACATCCGTAGGAAACAATGGTATGAATGAAATAGCATCATCCATCTTAACAATTCTTCTCCCTAAGAGTTTTCCACCCAAAGTTTTCAATTCTTGTCATCAAAGTTCATTTTGGTGGTATGTTGGTTTGCTTCTTGCATTCATATGTGTGGCATTCACACTACATTTCACAACACTCTCCCTTGGATGCCCATATATCAACCTTAATTGCTTCATTAAAACCTTGCTGAAAAAAAAAACTTAGTGGGAAAAAATCGTAGCGAAGGAAAAAAGAGTACAACTTTGCTTGGATCATTGATTTAGTGTTAAGTTTGTTTATGCTGCCTAGTTAGAACCTTGATAGAAAAGCCTAGTGGGAAAAATCCTAGTTGAAGGAAAAAGTACAACATGCATGTATCCTAGATGTAGCCCCCTGATATATCTATCTCTCATTGATTCCGCATGCTTCAATTTAACTGATTAATAAGCCAGCGTAATCCGATACCTTGCACCAGCTTTTTAAAATGTACACTTTGGTGGAGATTTTGTGAATAAGTCTGCCAAATTGCCATTGGAATGGATTTGTCTAACTTCAATAACTTTAGCCTTTTGAAGCTCATGTGCATTATAAAACTTTGGAGATATATGTTTAGTCTTGTTGATACACAAAACCGGAGGGGTCTTGGAACAACATAAATCCGACCGTGAATCTGCAAGAAAGTAAAGAACACAAGATGTATCGTGGTTCACCCTAATATTTAGGCTACGTCCACACTGATGTTGATATAGTTTCACTTTGAATGGTGAATATACAAGAAAACTAGAGGCAGTGTGCTCTCTAGCCCATTTTCTGTGGCCTAAGCCTTGCCCTCAATCTTGGCCTAAACTTGACCTCTCCAAATGAGGAGGGTGAGGAGTTCTTTTATAGAATAAGGGCTCCTCACTTATTAAATATTTTCCCCTTCATTTATTATATAATTACATTTGAGTCCCCTGAGTATTTATACGAGAACTAAATACGGAGGCTCTAAGTATGGTACAAACAGTAGTCCCCCAAGTCTTCAGTCAAGAGAGTCTTTTGGCTAGAAATTCAGTCCATGTGTGGGCTGAAGTAACTAGATGTCATCTATAACTGATACTCGATATGAGGTGGTGCTCAATGTGCAATGATTCTCAACTAGAAGTAGCACATGTTGCGAGGCTGCTCAGCTTGTGGTTTATGTTGCCTTGGTTGGCTCGGCTTGTGGCGTTGGAGGTGAGGGGGTCCCTTTTATAGAATAAGGGCTCGCTCCTCAATACATAAATGATGGGCCAGAGTTGATACTTGCGGCGAGTCGGTTGCTCAGTAGGCGGCAATGCTCTCTAATGATGGTGAGGGAGTCTCTTTTATAGAATAAGGGCTCGCTCCTCAATACATAAGTGATGGGCTAGAGTTGAGGCTTGCGGCGAGGCGGTTGCTCAGCAGGCGGCGATGCTCTCTAATGATGGTGAGAGAGTCCCTTTAATAGAATAAGGGCTCGCTCCTCAATACATAAGTGATGGGCTAGAGTTAAGGCTTGCGGCTAGGTGGTTGCTCAGCAGGCGACGATGCTCTCTAACGATGGTAAGGGAGTCCCTTTTATAGAATAAGGGCTCACCCCTCAATACATAAATAATGAGCTAAGAGTCTCTCTCTAATGAAGGTGAGGGAGTCCCTCTTATAAAATAAGGGTTCGATTCTCAATACATGAATAATGGGTGGTCTATATATGGTACACTATAAATAATGGGCTAAGTCCCTCAAGTATTTTTCATAAGGCCCAGTTGCGGAAGCTTAATATATGGTACATAGTGTAGTCCCCTAAGTCTTCAGTCATTAGAGTCTGTTGGCTGGAGACTTCAAAATCAACCATGTATGGGCCGAAGTGGCGGTTGTTCGGAGGCGGTCTTTGTATACCATGCACTGAAGCTTTGTAGGCGAAACTTTGAAAGTGAGGCTTTGAAGCTGGAGCTTTTGTAAATGAAGCTTTTAAAGCTGATTGACATGAGTGATGCTCATGAATGTTTATGTTGATTGACATGAGTGATGCTTATGGATGTTGACATGAGTAATGCTCATGAATGTTGACATGAGTGATGCTTATGTATGATTGACATGAGTTATGCTTATGAATGTTTATGCATGATTGACATGAGTGATGCTCATGTATAATTTTGGAGTACTGGACGTACTTTTGATCACCTGGTTAGTGGCAGGCTGCCGAATAATTTTGGAGTACTGAACGTACTTTTGATCACCTGGTTGGTGATAATAGCGGTAGGCTGAATAATTTTGGAGTACTGGGCGTACTTTTGATCACCTGGTTGGTAATAATAACGACAGGCTGCCGAATAATTTTGGAGTACTGGGCGTACTTTTGATCACTTGGTTGGTGATAATAGAGGTAGGCTGTCGAATAATTTTGGGAGTACTGGATGTACTTTTGATCACCTGGTTGGTGATAATAGAGGGTGAACCTTAGGGCTTGACTCTTTTTGGCATATGGGTCTTCGCCCTCCATATAACATTCCAACCCATTATTTTAGGCTTGCCCTTTTTTTTTTTTTTATTTTTTTTTTTATTACCCTTTGATGGGGTTATACAGATGTCTCCGAAAGATAAGAAAAGTAAATTACATCATTCAAAAATAAATCTAACCCTCATCTCAATGGGTCACGCCCATAATTCCTTTTTCTGCATGCCATCATCACCGCAATTATGTCTGCTTCTTTTTATCTGCTTTTGCTTTCTTCTTTTGCTTTCTGCTTTTACTTTCTGCTTTCTGCTTTTGTTTCCCACTCCATTTCCAGACATCCTTTTGCTTTTTCTTTTCTCTTTCCACTGTGCCTCTCTCTCTGTCTCTGTCTCTGCGCTGCTGTTATGCATGTGCACTCTGCACTAAAGTAGGTATTGGAAAAGAACACCGACATCCATGGAAGTTGAAAATGTGATGATTGTCGACATCACTGGATTTGGAGCGAGAGGAAGAGTTGCAGCAGGTAATGCAGAGTGATTTGAGCGAACGACATCGTTTTGGTGATCTGATAGATCCTAACTGAATCGTGCAGATCAAGTGACGTGAAGAAGAGGAGGAAGAAAAAGACCTTTTTGGAATCGGATGGATGGCATCTAAGTGATCTGGGCCGTGGCATCGAGCTCTGGCTCCGAGCACTTCGGTTTCAACTAGGCGCTGCCGTGGGGTTTGAGTGGAGGAGGACAGTAAGAGTGACCGAGCATGAAGCTTTGTATATCGGTCAGCTCTACTGGTTTCTGCAGATCCACCTGACTCTCTATAGAGTTTATCGACTTGGGAAATCTCAACGCTGCTTACCGGTGTGAAACAATGTCATCACTAACAGAACTGACCGAGCAGGAGTAAAGCTTCCTGGGCTTACAGTCCCGGTCTTCCCACACATACATTTCAACACGCATGACATTTTTAAGGAAAAGTAAGGTGAAAACTCCTTCCTCATAAAGCTGAACAAACAAGGAATAAAGGTCGTCATGGGAATACTCTTGCCTAGTGAGCTTACTGGTTGCCGCCTTATCAAAGATAAGGAGTATAAAATGCTTTCATTATTAGAGCACCACGAAATGTAGCAATAACTGCTGCTGTGTTGATCTAATAGAAGCTTGTTCAAGTACCCTAAGACAACTCATATCAATGGCGCACTTCGACGGAGATGTGGCTTGTGAGACGAGCCGAAGCCAGGGCGATGTGCAATGGCATCAGCGACTGCGCGCAGGTCAATTGGCCCGCATTGACCGGGAGGGAGAAGAGGGTGAGGCGAGAGTTGCTGCCGAGAAGATTATGAAGCGGAGTGCAAGGAAGGGATGAGATCGACGGAGATGATCGGAATGTTGAAGCTCTTGTGGTTGAGATCAGAGACCTTGACAAGGACGACCCATATCGCCACGCCATATCTTTGCTGGCTGGAAATTTGGGAATTGCAAATGGGGAAATTTGGGCTTGGGTGGAGCCGATGCTGGAGTGGGAGAAGATTTGGGGGTGGCAACCGGAGATGGTGACTTGGGCTTAGGAGCTGCAGCTGGTGTAGTAGAAGAAAGTGAGCGAGAACGATGTGCAGAGAGAGAGATATATAGGACTGGTTTCTTGGGTTTTTGTGATTTTGCAGATTCACGGCGGATGTGAAAAAATGAAAGAGAACCGACATAGCTTTTCGTGTCGTTTCCCACAGACGGTGCCAAATGTTGATACACAAAACCGGATGGGTCTTGGAACAACGTAAATCCGACCGTGAATCTGCAAGAAAGTAAAGAACACAAGATGTATCGTGGTTCACCCCAATGTTTGGACTACGTCCACACTGATGTTGATATAGTTTCACTCTGAATGGTGAATATATAAGAAGGCTAGAGGCAGTGTGCTTTCTAGCCCATTTTCTGTGGCCTAAGCCTTGCCTTCAATCTTGGCCTAAACTTGACCTCTCCAAATGAGGAAGGTGATGAGTCCTTTTATAGAATAATGGCTCTTCACTTATTACATATTTACCCCTTCATTTATTACATAATTACATTTGAGTCCCCTAAGTATTTATACGAGATCTAAATACGGAGGCCCTAAGTATGGTACAAACAAGTCTTATCACATTTGATGAATCCTTCCTTCATTTGAGCAATACATATTGCATTATCTTCATGAACGATAGTTGAAATGCATTTCGGATCTGATGGATCATTGATCTTAACAAAAAAACATTCATGATTGGCTTTATGGAGATAAAGTATTTCTGAGTGATTCGAAGTTGTAGCAACTAATGTTTGTTTTGGTGAGTGCCATGATATTGTTGTATTTCCATAAGTGAAAACATATCCAGTTTATGAGCGGGCTTTATGTGGATCGGAGAGAAAACTAGCATCTGCATATCAAATGAGATTCTGGTCATTGTGGGCTTCTTGGAGTAGAGGAGGTCCCATCCATTGCCCTACGAAAATTTCGTAAAACATCTATGACTCCCTTCGAAGGTCAAATTGTTGGAGCAAAGCTATATCTTGCGAACAAGTTGACTAAAAAAACTATATCTAGTCTAGTACATTGTGCTAAATACAACAAAGCTCCAATTGCATTAAGATATGGTACATCTGGAACAAGGACCTTTTCATCATCTTCATTTTGGAGAAATGGATCTTTCTTAATCTCAAGAGATCAAGCGAGTATTAGCGTGTTGAGTGGATAAACTTTTCTTCGGTGTTCATTAGTTAGGCTAACGGTGTTTGTTATTTTGTAGGTGTGATTTCCTCAATCTAGCCTTGTATGAAATTTGCACCCACAATGTCCATATCATGCGTTGCCAACTCATGTGCAAGTTCAATCATTTTACAGTGGTTATACAAGCAATACAGTGGTTATACAAGCAAGACTATAATTTATGCTACAGATGGAGGAGCTTTGATGGGAAAAACAGAAGTTGAGGCTTACAATTTGCTGGAAGAGATAGTTTGTAATAGCTAGCAACGACCCATTGAGAGATCAATGCCAAAGAAAGCCGGAATTCATGAGATTGATGCCATTTATGTACCGACTGAGCAAATTATACAGAGTTTGGTGCTTCATTGGGAGAGGCCGTTTTATTATGTTGGGCTCCATAAATTGGACTTGTTCGTCAATAGCCCAAGAAAAAAGCTCCTCTTCAAGCGGGCCCACAGTAAAAATGAACTTTTCAATGATGTGTGCTGTGTGCATAGACGGAGTTAAAATCTGTCATTCTCTCCGGTCCCCTTTCCTCTTCAGTCTTCCCTCCTCCCTCCTCACTCCTCCCTCCTCCCTCTTCCCTCCCATCGCACTCTAGGTTTCTCTCTAATTTCTGTAAGTGCCCTCTCTTTACTCTTCAGTTCCTTATTTAGGGTTTGCTAATTATTTATTTTTTAATATTTTCTTCTCTGTTTCTGTATGTTTTTTTATTTCAATTCAGTGAATAGGGTTTAGGGTTACATGTTTTTTTTGAGTTCTTTGTGTTTGTTTTTTTTAATTATATGAGTGCGAATCTTACTGTTTTTTTGTGGGCAATTGAGAATTTGAGGTGGGTTTTGTTCTATCGTAGAAAGATTTGAGCTTTTATGCCCCAGAATAATTCTACTGCAACTTTGTGAGTGTGATTTGAAGTTCTTGTGGTTGCTTAACTATGTGCTTCTTGGTAATTAGTATGGCTCAACTGGTGTCCGGACTTCGAACTAGTTAATTCGAGTCAGTTTTTGTTTTCATTTACTTTTCGTTTCAATTTTATTGAGAGGTAGATTGGCCTGACAATAAGTTAGTTTCAACTAGTTTGAATGTATATGCTTCTAGTCGAATATTATTGTTTCTAAAATAAAGCATGTAGAGGTGGTGATCATTTTATGCCCTTTACGTTTCAAATTTATGTTGGGTCAAACTGTCAAATGATATATGGATAGGTAGGGATGTGATATGCCAAGGAAATTATGTCTTGGTAAATGTGAAGGAGAGAAGTTGAGGTCTTTTGAGCCGTAGCAGATATGAATGTAGGGAGGCTTATTTTTCTTTGGCACCTTTCTATTATCTGGCTATCACCTTCTTAAGAATGATTTGCTTTCATTCTGATTTTTTTGTTTGTTTCCTTGCTCTTTCATTTTTTTGTACTTTTGTTCTGTTATTCTAGTAGCCTAGGCACCTTGATAGATGGATCTAGCATAAACTTTAGATCTATATAGAGTGCATTTACCTGGGTGCTAATATCTAGTATAATTTTCTGCAGTAATTTCATGAGGGTCACTGCATGGAGGGATTACCAATTTCGTTGAAAAGTAACTGATTGCAATAGCATCCTTACGAAAGAGCTACATTGGGATATAGTTCATATTATTCGATAAGTTCTTAGACTGGAGGTTGCTCTGAAGGGGTTTGGGAATAAAAAAATAGAATTACTTCATAGTCCAACAAGTTAGAAGAGTACTCATGAACCTTCAACTTTGATGCCCCTGATGCTAAATGTTGATCAGTGTTATGATGAAGTGAGGGAGGAGCTTGTTAGCATAATTATTGAAAGATTACAGCCTTCAAAAGTTGAATAGGAATAATTGTTGATTGAGGAAGATTCTGCATATTTGGTTTAATCAAAATGTCACGAGTGCAGAGAGATATGATGCCTTCATGTTACTTTTCAAAAGCTATGCAAAGGTGATCGTTTATGTGCTTGAAGTTGAGCATGTGTTAGTTGGTGAAATTGATTGACTTGTTTGGAGACAGACGTGAGCGTATCTTCATTTCCTTGTGGTTGCCATCAATTTGGCTCGGGGCTTACGAAATTGCTGATTGTTCTTCCCTGTTTTAAGGCTAGGTGTTTTTCGTATCTTGATATTACAACATGGTAACTGGATTCAGATGAGAAGTATTCACATTGTTTGAAATTTGGGGTGTTTTTATTTGAAGTCTCAAACATATCAAGGTCAATGTCATGGCTGATAATAACATTCAATAACCACGAATATTCCTATTTCATACATGAGCTTATGTGTCCAAATGAGCCTCTTGCAAATGTAAAGATTAACATATTCTTGATAGTAGCCTATATTTGACCCATTGGTCACTAGTATAATTAATCTTGATCCAATTGATAGAATTGTAATTTGAAACGATTGGATCTTGTCTCAGATCCATGCGAATAATTCCTTTCAGTTGAGCTATTTCCTTTGTCTTTATTTGAAAGTTACAGGAGAAAGAATAGATGCACCAGAAGGATCTTTAAATAAAGTGTCACTCCTGATTTTCTGTATGGTTGTCGGGGTTGTAAAGGGCTTTGAAAATTGTATTGTTCCAAAAATTTATGTTACCCCAAACATTGAATAGTTTTGCCTTAGTGTCTCTCTGACTTCTCTGTTGGAAGTTACTCCATGCAATTTGTGTTATATCTAAGACACAGGACAAACCCTTACTTCGTTAAAACAAAACTCTAGGCTGTTTTATTTTCCTGTTGACAATTTCATTCAGCCTATAACTTCAGCTGACGGTAGCCATCACTCATTGTATGCCAATAATATGATGTGGGATTTTAATGTTTATGAATCTATGAAATCATCTTTGAAAAGGAGGATTGATATACCACACAAGAAACCAGGAAAAAATTTTCTCCAATCCCCTATTTTGAAATTCACTGTCTGGAAAACCGTTTTTGAAGCTTGCTTTGGGGTGAGGTGTGAAATCTCCTTTTCCCTATTTTGAAATTCATTGTCTGGAAAACCCTTTTTGAAGCTTGCTTTGGGGTGAGGTGTGAAATCACCTGAGGCCTATGGTTGTTTAGTAGAGTGCGTGGCCCGTGCATGTGTCCGGTGTGAGGTTAAGCTCTGTAACCGAATGCAGCATTTCTTTTAAAATATTCAGCCACCATTGGTGCTAAATGACCATAGTGTTGTTTTGATTTTTATTTATACCTAATTGAATCATATGCCCACAAAGCAAATAAGTTTCGCAAAATAACTCAACATTAACAATTACTTGTCTTTGACCTAACTAAGAGACAAAAGTACCAGTGGTCCTCTTCTGCTAACTACATTGTTTAGTAACTGGAATCATCTTCATATCTATTCTTCACCATAGGCCTGTATGAAGCATTGCCTCTCCCTTGTAGTCTACCTCAACACCTCTTTTGTTGGAAGTTTGTTGATCAAGTCCACCAGATTGTAGTTTACTTCATCTTCAATCCTAAACACAAGACTCAAAATGATAAGCGGGAGCTAGACACAAGGCATTCTGTTTGTGTAAAAAATTGTCTTCTATGTATGTCCTTCCTCGTATCTGTTAACAATGTGAATCACACCAAATTCATAGCATTATTGAATGGTGATTGTAAATCGAATTCCCACAATGTGTTTGATGTTTCAACATTTGACAGTAAACTTATTATCATCTTGCTTGTTTCTTGGATGTTAGGACACACCAATTTAAGTATAGAAACAAAACAGATAACTGTTAAACAAAAACATAGGGTTATGGCATATGATATGCCAGTTCTAAAAAGATGAATGCTTGGGTATGTGTGTGTGTGTATATATAAAATGTACACATGGCTTTTGTTTTATGGGACTAACTATACAAGACTTTTCACCAGCGACACAAATGTCGAACTTTTCCCATGGGATAAGTTGATCAATATATGTATATCATCATTACCGTACTTGTCACGTTCTTGTTCTTAAGAACCGGACACATTTGTTTGAAAGAACTTCTATCTCGAGTATGGACCTCCCTGCCATGTGTCAGGCTGAATGACGGGCACTGTCCCTGTCCACTCCAAACATAATATTGTGTTTTACAAATAAAGGGTGTATAAATGTATTGTAGAAAACTTATTACACATGTCATGCTTTATCTAGACAGTCTCCATGTATTCTTACATTTCATTTTTTTCTACTATATGCATGTCGCCTTTAAAAAAGTACACTTTTGTATATTTTTGATATATGCTCCATGACAAATTGTATTTGTCTTCTGCATCCATTTTCTCTTTGGTCAATCTAATTGAAGTACGATTTTATTCCATTTTAGCTGTTATTAGTATCCAAAATTATCAACTTGCATTCCTTTTTGTAAAAAGTCAGAGGGAGGAGTGCAATGACTATTTTTTTAGTGCTAACAGAAATGCCCTCAATTTTTTGACAAAAAAATTGTTATTAAACTTAGCTGAGATTGATAATATATTCTTAGTTCTGGTCATGGTTAATGGTATAAAATTTTTGTTTTCATTGATTCAGTTTTATTGTTTCACATGTATATTTTGTCTTGTTGGTAACATCAATATTTTATACACTCTAGTAGACTTAAATTGATACTAAGAAAGTGTAAAGAAGCAAAAGAGTGATCAGGAAAAGTAATGAGATTGATTGATTTTTTCAATGCCTCCAGATTGTTCTGAATAAGAATAAGTAAAGGGTATTGATTTAAGACTGAGAGAAATGAATAGAAGCAGCCGAAAGCGGTCTTCTAAATGGGATTTGGTGGACGAGCCTCAGTTTGAAGATGCAAATATGCAGGACAACGGTTGGATGGGAAAGGCAGGTAGGACATTTCGTCCTAAGGAATCTGGACATGACTGGCCTTCTCCAGAGACAAATGATCTGCAGAGACCTAAGCATGATTTGGATTTGGCTTCCAGGGAACCTTTGCCCGGAAGCAGAGGTTCACATAAGCATGGGAGTATGAATAAGAGATGCAATAGATACATTGATGACTCTATGGTGTGGGATGGAGATGAAAATTGCAGCACAAGGATGTCTCCTGGTTTTGATGACTGGAGAGAACATCGTAGTCAGTCCCCAAAAAGTGGTTGGAAAAGGTCACTGAGGTTAGCCTTTTTTTTATCCATTGTCAGTTTCTCGCTCACTGTTTCTTTTTCTTATGTTAATATATAATCGAGATAGCATTTTTTGACGCATATAACAGTAGAAACTCTCGGTGGATGTTATGTGCAGAGGTAGGAGTAGAAGTAGAAGCAGGAGCAGGAGTAAGAGCCAGAGCTGGAGCAGGAGCCCTGATCGTGGCTATAGGCGGGAATCACTTTTCCTTGACAGAAATAGAGGCAGGCCAGGCATTTCAGCTCAATTGTGCAAAGATTATATGACTGGGAGATGCAGGAGAGCTAGTGATTGCCAATTTCTTCATGAGGGTAATTCCAAGTATGATGATAGCTGGGAAAGTCGACACAGGAAACGTGGTGCTTTGAGATATGCTAGTCCTCCTGAAACTACCGAGTACTACCCATTAAAAAGTGAAAGATATTCTGTGTCTTGTAGTGATTTTGTAAAGGGGAAGTGCCGCAAGGGTGCCTCTTGCAAGTTCAATCACCATCGTCCTTCTGATGGATTCAGCAAAGATTCTACAATTGATAATACGAGAGAAAGGGAAAATGAAAGAAGGAACAGAGATACTTCTACAGAGCGAGGTGCTGAGCGTGTACCACACAGAAGTGGCGATATTCCTTGCAAATTTTTTGCTGCGGGAAATTGTCGTAATAAAAAGTATTGTCGGTTTTCTCATCATATTCAAGCTTATGTAAGTCCTGAAAGAAAGTCAAAGGATGGCCGGTGGGGCCCGGGTCACAGTTTAAATGATGCAGGCCCAGCATGGAATGGTCCAAAATGCAGTGATACCGTGACTCTGTCAGATGCCCCAATGTTGACTGTAGATAACAGAAATATTGGTGTTCCAGAGGTACGGTCTAGTGCTTGGTCTGTGGATGATAATAGATGGGGTTGCGATCAGAACGATGAGAACAAAAATTGTGCTGACCGCAATGTTAGTCATGAAGCAGCTGAGAGGAATGAGAAGGATGCAAATCTGTGGAAGGAAGATAATGTGGGTGCTCGTGTGGATCTTCCCAAATCAAGAGATACTGAAAAATGGCTTGGTGACATGTCTCCTGATTGGAATTACACGGTGCAATCCTCCAACCATGTTGGGAAACAAGAGCATGGTTGCATTACGCGAGGTTCAGAACCTTCAACTCGGGTACATGGTGCTGCTTCAATTATTGAACAAGAGATAGCTGAAAGATCTGATTTTCTGCAGAACAAGGATCTGAGGGGAGATGGAGTTATTTCCTTGCCATATGACAATAGGAATGCCATTGAAGAACCTTCTAGTTTTCGTAATAACCTAAGTGTTACTGCAAATATTGTGGGCTGCCAAAGTTTTGACAACAGTGGCCAGAGTTCAAGTGCTTTTCCTTTTTCAGGATTGAGCACAATTGGGCAAAGTCAAACACTAATCCCAGGCAGAGGAATTGTAAAAAGTCCGCATGATACACTGTCCCCAGAGGGTAAATCTGTGAACAAATTAGATATAGGTGATGCAAAAACTTCACTAGTTGATGGAATTCCTCAAGTTCCAAGTTTGGTAGGTGGTAAAGAACTTAAGCAACTTACCAATCTTTCAGCCTCTCTGGCTCAGTTACTTGGAAATCGGCAGCAACTTCCACAGATTTATGCTGCTTTAAATGCTCATAATGCGGTGAGCACCCCACCTCTCCTTCCCAAATCCAAAGGATCTTCTGAGCAGCTTTTGGGAGCAACTTCTCAGCCCGATCCAGCCATGTTATCTCATAAGCCGTATGATCCTATATGTGATAGCATAGAACATAGAATTAATAACAATCAAATGTGCCTTTTGCCAAATAGTGCTGGAAACACAAGTGTTGATGGAAAAGTAGAGAAACTGTCAAATGTTGTATCTCCATCTTCTTTACCTAGCGGAGCAAATACAAACAATTATCATCAGACTAATAATCCAGTACAAGAACCTACACATGAGAATCACCAGTTAAGTCAGCTGGAGCGTGGTGCAAAACCTGTGGTTGTCAAGGGAAATGGTGATCTTGGGGCCAAGGAAATCAAGAGCGATCAGGAAGAAAATAATTCCCCAGTTAATGGTCCCATGGAGGTCACAGAAAAAGATGGTGCTGACGGGGGCAAGAAACTCAAGGAAGTGAAGGGGAGTCGTGCATTCAAATTTGCACTTGTGGAAAACGTTAAGGAGCTTTTAAAACCCTCATGGAAAGAAGGTCAAGTCAGCAAAGATGCTTACAAAACTATAGTGAAGAAGGTGGTTGATAAAGTGACCAGTACCATGCAGGGGGCTAATATTCCCCAGACTCAAGAGAAGATTGATCATTATCTATCATTTTCAAAACCAAAGCTTACTAAACTTGTACAGGTAAGTGCTGTTTAGTGTTGAATGTTGATTAATTCATTCTAGCTGCATTCTCTCTTTTGTTTAGGAATACTTCTTTGTTGGCATATGTTTTTATTCTCAGATGAAATACAGTTTTAACGAGTGTCTTTTTCCCCTGTACTGGTTCTGGTTTTAGGTTGCTAGTTCTGTGGATGAGTCCATCGCTTTGTACATTTTCTTTGTTCTTAATGAAAATTTGCTTTCGATAAAAAAGGAAATATTTATTATACATCTAAACTCCCTTTTTGAACGTATTTCAGGTCATGTTTTCCTTCTATTCCTTCTCTAGGTTCTCTCTATTTACCCACCATGTGAGTCTGTGATTTCTTATTTGTTTTTTGTTGTCTGTAGAAAGGTGATAATAGGAGTTTTGTATTCGTTATTTCACAATAAGTTAGTCAAAATGTAGTCTTCAATTTGTAGTCATCTCAACATTCTTGTTTAATTAATAATATTCTTAGTTTCGTATTTCATAGTATTATATATCTGTTTGTTTGTTTGATTCGTATGTGAACTTTGATTTTGAACTAATTTATGTTTGTCCAACACAATAAACAATACGAAGCCAAGAAATAAAACTTGAATAACCGGGTTCGGGACAGAGGTCAAGGCCCTTTGCTTGTTAGGTTGGAAGGTGCAACGACAATAAAGTACCAAGCACATTAACTTACGTTAATATTAATTAAAAAACACAATGGATGTGACTCTTTGATGTTTTTATAGAGAAATAATATGTCACAGAATCCATGTATAGGTAACATACAGATTTTTCTCCGAATGTGGATATGTAATCGATATGTTGTTGATATCATCAATGCTTTCATAGGAGAATACTAAAGCAAAACAAAAGACATCTAAACTTAACGGACAATAAATTCTAATCCTTGACCCACAAGAAAACTAATAACTCAAATAAAAACCCTAAATTCCAACAATTAACTGTATATATTATAGTCTAAACGTATGAGGTCCATGCATGTTTCCATTCAAAATTCTTTCACTTAACCAAGGCTGGAATATTAGGGGTATGTGCAATTGCTTCGTTCTTTTGTTTCTTGACAACGTCACATTTAGACTTAGCTATGTAGTAATGTGGCACCTCTGTATAATTGTCTGCATTTGTTAAATAAGGTCACATGCAGCTCCCATGACCATTTTTAAATCATAACCCTAACTCTTACCTCTCTTCTTCGCTTCTCCATCTCCTCTCTTTTCTGTACTCTTTTCTTTGAAAAAAGAATTTGAATGGGTGCTTGAAAATGTCAAGCTCTTTCTTCTCCATTTCTCTACTCCTCCCCCAGAGTGTCATCACTCCTGCCCTTCGAAACCCCCTGCTCTCTAACATAAGCTTGGACGGATTTGGGTATGCGGAGAAAAGTCCAAGGTGTGTCTTTAGACATATTTCACAGAAAGTTGCGTGGGGCAAATTCTCAGATTTTTACATTTTTCTTTGCCGGTGGCAATTCTGGTGGTTTTTTGTGCAATCCCTACCAAAACTTTTCTTTAGTTGAATTTGCTTTGCAACTAGTTTCTATTGTGTCTGATGATGATATGAAATCTTACTATTTATTCATGTTAAGAAATGGTTGGTTCTGAGTTATGCCGAAGGGGTATTTTGAAATTTAAAACTCAGAAGATGAAGGCAGCAGCATGGGACATCAAAATCAGAAGTTTTGGAATGTAGTGGTGTTCATTTGAAGTTGATTTTTTTCTTTTTTCCTCTAATGTCCTGCTCCAATACAGCATTACACTTTATAATTTCTAGTCCTCGGAGTTTAATATGTGGATACTAATTTGGAATTGATATAACTAGGCTGTTTCTTCATTTTCCACTTTGACGCTTTGTGTTTATCATCTGTTTCCTCTGTTACAAATTTCCGGTGGTTAGTAGATTCTGAGCCAATGTTTCTTACAGTATTTGTATTCACTTTTGCTGCAGGCATATGTAGAAAAATGCACAAGGCCTAAAAGAGAACAACTTGCGTTTTTTCACTTTCCTTGTGTCATACAAAACTTCGCCTAACGCTCCTGGCGTGTTTATGCTCTGGCAGCCTTTTGCGTATCTTAGGTTTGTTTTTCCATTTTCCTTTTTCCGGTTACGTAAGACATCTTAATTTTTTTTAGCATTCCTTTGATGTATACTATTTGGTGCAAGGATAGTGAAACTCTTGGACTAAGATGGGCATATGAGAGATTAATTATTCTTCTTCATGTGCGTTATGTTGGTGCGTCTTTCTTTTGCTTCTTGTTAAAATGGGCAATTATTATTTTTTGAGGAGCATGTCGTGCAGCTTTGAGTAACTGTGCCTTTAGTTCGTTTAATTGGACATGTTTTTCTTTTGGTGTAAATGAGTAAGTAATGTAACAAGGCATGGCCGAAATTTGGTTAATTAAGTCTTATGACAGCTTTTGACGTAAATTTTGCTGCAAGCTTTTCCCATAGGTTTAGTCCCTCGACTACATTTACTACCCTAGCGTATTTCGGATGCTTGAAGGCCCGCGATTTAGAAAGATTCTTCGTTATCGATGGTGATCGGTCATGGCATCCATAGCGTTGCTTCTTTTTTGGCCAAATCCAAGTTTCGTTTTGTTCTTGTATATCGCCGCTTGAGTGAAGACATCCCACCGGCCCTTCTCCCGGGCTTGGAGTTTTCGCGTCTTTTCAGTCGTCGTGGTTGACGGGGAAGAAAGAAATGAATGAATGTTGTTTTGGGAAATGTAGTATAATACATGTACCGAGACGAAAGCTAAAGTCCGTCTGCTTTCCCATAGGTTTAGTCCCTCGACTAGACGTTGTAGACTTGTAAGGCTCGGTTGGTACAGGGGATTATTGGAAGGAATAATCTTCTAAATTCAATTCACATCTAATCCTTTTTCTAACCTCATCAATATGGAAAGCAATTCTCCTCTACCTTCAATAGCTCAACAGAGTTTCAGCTGAGTCTTAAGAACCTGTTTTGTATTTTTCTTGGATTTAATTTTTTGTTTGCAAAAATGGTGAGTGTAGCTAAATTATTTAGGGCTAATTACATTTCACATCTTGAAGTTTGGGGTGATTTTGAAAATTTTTCAAGTGTTAATAACAATTTCCTTCTTATTTACAATATAAGGTATTAAATTTGTATCATTTTATTCCTTTGGTAGGATCAATTGTTTACCTTTCATTAAAGTGATGATTTGTTGAGTGTGAGATCCTTTATGGGTTAACGTATAAGTCACATTAGCACCACATTTACAAAAAAAGTCATCAATTTAATAAAAGATTAGATATTCAGAGAGGCAAAAGGTGTAAATTGGTACAATTTCAAAACTTCAAACCTCAAATTGCAGTGTGAGAAGATTATATTCTTGTGGCCCATTTTACTAATCACCTCAAACCTTAAAGGTGTAATGTAGGTTGCTCTACTTAGGCCTTCCCCAATATGGAGAAGAAGCGTGTGATATCAACGTATTGAACTCATAAAGAAATCGCACTCTTATAGTGGACTGGAAAATTTAAGCTGATACCTTTAATTCATATAAACTAGTGAGTTCTGCATGTGAAAAAAGAGAGAAAGGAAAAGATGTCAAATTAAATATGAAAATAACTGGGACCCGCTATCTTTTTTATATGTTTTTCAAAGGGAAGTATTATTGACACTTCAAAAATCTTATTCTACACTTCTCACAAGTATATTTTTCTTTCCTAATATAGAAAATTTGGAGTGTAGAATGAGATTTTTGAAGTGTTAATAACAATTCTCTTTTTCAAAAATCAAACGACTCAGTCTTTCAGGTTGTCAATGGATCAAATTTTGAAAATACCAGATTACTTAGCCGTGGTCTTTTGAGATCAATGCTGCAACTTTCCTAAGTTTGTTATCGTGTGTTGCTACGGTTTATGCTTGTGGTTTCCTTTGAGTACAGAAATAAAAATATGTAAAAATAATACAATTTTAGCATCTCCCAATTAAAATTGTGCATGATTTTAGTTTGGTAAAAAGGATGATTCTCATAAATGTTGAATTCATACAAATGTAGCAGTAGTGTTATATGTGTCAAGCACAGGATGCTTGATTTCAATAAATACATATATCACACTCACTCAAACTAATAAGGAATTTGGCTAGTCAATGTTAGTGTCCTATTTTCATTAGGATTGTATCAGGAAGCTGGAGGTGCACAAATTCTTGTCTAAAAGGATTAGGAAAGAATTATGTTTTTTTTGTACAATGTAGATTAGGAATCCTAGAAGCTTAATTGGAATAGGAAAGAAGTTTACTGATAATGTTAAAAAAATAAGAAAAATGTTGTAAACAGTGGGCATGTTTGCCCACATGTATACAGTAAGGATTGATATGCTAAATAGTGAAGTTTTTGTAAGTTTTCATGGTGGTTGCTCTTTAAATAGAGCACTACGAGTGTTCAAAATAGACGACACAAAAGCAATAAGAAAAGAAAGATAAGTTAGAATATTTTATGCATTCTCCTATTTCTCTTTTTCTTGCAATCTTTCTGTTATAGTTAATAAACAAAACAGTGTAATATATTAAATCCACTTCGCTCTTGCTCTTAGCAAAGGTTATTTCTCTAACTTTTGCCTATTTATAACACATTATCAACACGACTCTCTAATCATTTCTCATTTCCCTTCACTGAAAGAAAAAAAAAATGTTTCCTCTAAGGTTTTTACTGTTCTTCTTCTTCCTCTGCCTCAATTGTTGGATATACCCTCGCGAAGAACTGTTTGCACCATGTTTACTTCTAGTTCTCAACCTAACAGTTACTTATATCTTTGATTTCTTGTTTGGTGTAACTCTTGACTATTAACCCAGTATTTATTTATGCAATCCAAGATGGTGCGGTATCATCGCCTATCTTGGACTGCAGATCTAATTTTACTGCAAATTTTAGGTGAAATGGTATAATCGCCCACCCTATCCTGCATATTTAAATTTGTCTGTTATTTAATTTTATTGCAATTTTAGGTGGTGTAGAATAATCACCCACCCTGCTCTGCATCTTTAAATTTTATCACAATTTTAGGTGGTGCAGTATAATCGTCCACCTACTCTGCATATTTAAATTTTCTTGCTATTTAAAATGGTGCGGAATAATCACTCATCCTATACTTGTTTCGATGAGAATGGTGTGGTACAATTGGCCTTTTCATTAATCATGTAAATCTCGAGCCTGAAGTTTCGAGTACTTATCATTTTGACCTGAAGATCAAAATTTGTAAGAACCAGAAGTTCTAATAATATATTCCTCCAGAATACATATTATTGCAAGTTCTTACACACCTCATTTTTCTCTCAGAAAAGAAAATGGCGAACTTGGCAAAACTTGATTTTGTTGCCCTTGATATTACTGGAAAGAACTATCTTACCTGGGTAATGGATGCCAAGATCCATCTGGAAGCAGGAAATCTTGGGGAAACCATCAAGGAGGATAACAGTGCATCCTCTAAAAATCAGACGAAGGCCATGATCTTTATCCGTTGCCACCTTGATGAGGGACTGAAGAGCGAGTACCTCACAGTTGAAGATCCATTAACCCTCTAGAAGGCACTGAAAAATAGATATAATCACCAAAAAACGGTGATTCTTCCAAGGGCTCGTTATGAGTGGGCTTACCTAAGGATCCAGGATTGCAATGTTCAAAATTAATTTCCAGTTGAAGCTCTGTGGAGAAACAATAACTGAGGAAGATATGCTGGAAAAGACTTTCAGCACCTTTCATGCCTCCAACGAGCTCCTGCAGCAGCAGTATAGAGAAAAAGGCTTTACTGAGTACAACCAACTGATATCTGTACTCCTTGTAGCCGAGCAAAACAATGAGCTTCTGATGAAGAATCATCAGTCCTGATCTACTAGATTAGCACCATTCCCAGAAGTGAATGCTGCTTCCCTTGAAGGAAGTACCACATCCTCTCGTGGAAATAATTACAAATGAGAAAATGGCCATAAACGAGGCCGGTGGAATGGGAAAGGCAAGAACCATGGTGTCCAATTTCACAACCAGGTTTCAAGGCATAATCCAGGCCAGAGCTTTAAGAATGCAAATCGCTAGAAAGGCAAAACTCATATGAACACTTCTAGAAATCCTGAAGGAGTTTGCCATAGGTGTGGTGGCAATAGACATTGGGTGCGTAATTGTCGCACCCCAAAGCATCTGGTGGATCTATATCAAGCCTCTCTCAAGAAGAAGGGTGTCGAGACCAATTTCATCGACCATACTCAACCAATGGAAATACCAGATCTAGTGTCCAATTTATCAGGACAGTTGAACACAACCCACCTGGATGTTTCAGACTTTATTATTGAAAGAGGGAATGAAGTTTATGGGTCCGATTGAATCATTTATGTTTAATGTACTCTTGTTATTTGTACTTGTGGTTTAATGCTCACATTTTCAATTCAATAAAAGTAGTATTCCAGTATGAATAAACTGCTTTTTAACTGTAATTTCTTTACTTAGAGAACATGGATAAAAATTATGGTTATTCTCAAAACAAGAGCAATGGCGGAGACTTTTGTATTGCAAACAGTGCAACCATGCATTCAATACTTCGAGATCAAAAGTATTTCTCGAATTTGGTACTTGCAAAAGTAAAGGTAACAACAATATCAGGGCAATCAGATGTAATTGAAGGCACAAGAAAAGCCCAGATTATGTTACTAAATGGAACAATATTGTCCATACAGAATGCATTATACGCTACTCGATCTATTCGAAATTTGTTGAGTTTTAAAGACATACGTTTAAATGGATACCACATGAAACGAAAAGTGTAGAAAATGTGGAATATTTATGCATTACCTCCAATGATACCTAGAAGTATATATTGGAGAAGTTGCATGGTTTATCGAGGGGATTGTATTATACATACATAAAGACAATTGAGGCATATGCTGTCATGAACCAGAAGTTCATGGATTCAAAAGTTTACATGCTTTGGCATGACCGTCTAGGTCATCCAGGATCCTCCATGATGCATAAGATCATTACCAACTCTAAGGGACATCCAGTATTGAGCAGACACATTACTACCTCAAATGATAACCCTTGCAAAGCTTGTTCCCAAGGGAAGTTGGTAACTAGACCATCACAACTAAAGGTTGATGATGAATCCCCATCATTTTTGCAAAGAATTCAATGGGATATTTGTGGACCTATTCAACCACCTTGCGGACCATTTCGATATTTTATGGTTTTGGTTGATGCATCTACCCCATGGTCACATGTTTGCCTATTGTCTACTCGAAATGTAGCTTTTGTGAGACTTCTTGCTTAGATA